CTCTCTGATCAGAAATATGTATGCATGAGGAAACGAATGAGCACAAAATGTGATCACAAACACACACACACAAGCTCAGACCAAGATTGGTCAAGTATGAAACACAACACACAACACAAGCCAAGCATGACACACACAACACACCTAACATAAAGCACACAAGTCCTGCAGGAAGGAGACACACCAAACATGAACCACACATACTCACACACACACCAAATTTAAGCGCGCGCGCACGCACGCACACACACACACACCAAGCATGCGCTACACACACACAACAAATTTAATGCACACACTCACACACCAAGCAGGCTACACACACCAAATTTAAAGCACACACACCAAGCATGCTATACACACAAACCAAGCATGCTACACACACCCATCATGCTACACACACACTCACACAAACCAAGCATGTTACACACACCAAACTTAAAGCGCACAGACACTCACACCAAGCATAAGTTTACATCGCACAGACACTCACACACACCAAGCATGCTACACACTAAATGTACAGCACACACGCACTCACACACCAAGCATGCTACACACACACCAAACTTAAAGTGCACACACACCAAGCATGAAGCACACACACTTACACGCACCAAGCATCCTACACACACCAAACTTAAAGCGCACACGCACCTAGCATGAAGCACACACTCACACACACACACCAAGCATGAAGGGCACACGTTCACACACACCAAGCATGAAACACACACACACACACCAAGCACGATGCACACACACCAATCTTGAAGCACATGTACACACACACACACACTAAATGTAAAGCACACACACACACGCACACGAGGCCTGCAGCGCACACACACGACTGATAACGTTTGTTTAGTCTGATGTAAGGAGGGGAACACATAGGGTTGACTATACAACACACCTGCTTATCTCTCCAACAACTGATAGCCTAGGCTGTCATAAAGGTCCGCGATCCTTATCACGAGTTCAATTGTGCTGAGTCATGGGCATGGCCTGCCTTTGAGCATTCGTTTTGGTTCAGGTCGAGTCAAAGCTTCCTGAAATCGAAACCCAACGTTTAATATGTTTGCGTAAAACACATTTTGTATGGTTCTATTGGAATCTGAAGAGCAAGATTTCATTTCATAACAAAATAAATAACACTTCTTACGCTGTAATTTGACACGCCAGGAGAAATCCGCTTAATTCACGTGATCAATGGACAGATTCAGATTTATGATTAAAATATTACAATGCATTGTATCGTAGGTTTACAGTTCAGTGTCACCACCAGTGGTGTCAGTGATAGTTTATGTGTGCAGTACGTTATGAGGGGAAAAAAACCAAAAACAAATCTGATAAGAGGCCAACGTTTGTCTGTGAATAAAAAGATCGTTTATAAATATTATACCTATATACCTGTTGTACACGTGAAGATCCGGGTTAGAATTGATATTGCTTGTAAGAGGCGACTAACGGGATCGGGTGGTCAGGCTCGCTGACTTGGTTGACACATGTCATCGTATCCCAATTGCGTAGATCGATGCTCGTGCTGTTGATCACTGGATTGTCTGGTCTAGACTCGATTATATACAGACCGCCGCCATATAGCTAGAATATTGCTGAGTGCAGCGTAAAACGTAACTCACTCACCTATATCTGTTGTCTATCTATTTGCCCTGACGGTACGTATTCACAAGTAGCACCGGGGCGGTGGGATAGCCTAGTGGTTAATGCGTTCGCTCGTCACGCCGAAGACCGTTCGATTCTCCACAAGGGTACAATGTGTGAAGCCTATTTCTGGTGTCCCCCGCCGTGATGTTGCTGGAATATTGCTAAAAGTGGCGTTACACCCAACTCACTCACTCACTCACTAAAGTGTATCACCGAAACTATATTCCACTCACACGAGTATCACCTGGAGTTATGGCAAATCAGCAAAACGTTTGCTCATATGCAGTAAATATTCTACCTAATCAAAACCAGTATGTCTACACAGGGATTAAATTGTTATCGTGAAATCCGTCATCCCTGCCTCTCGGACAGATCTCGGGTTGATTTACTGCTCGCTGTTGTAGTGGTCGATGTTGAAACCATGTCAATTTCCTTCTCAGCGAGTAGCGTCCATCAAGAGCACTCGAGCTCATGGTAAACCCTCCACTACCCTATCTCAAGGCTACTGACATCATTACTCGAATCTCGAGCCGTATTTACAATCTCGTCGTATTTAGAGACGCACATAAATTGAAGCCCTTGTTGGAATACACAATCCGAGTGCCACTCTGTACGGGGTCCCGTGTTGCACAATTCCTTGTTTATGTTCAACGTCGGGGGAGGATGGTGACTCAAAGGTCGCCAAGCAGATTGGGAATTAGCGAAGATCATAAACGACTGATAAGCATAGAGATTTGTTTGGTGCCGACATGTGGATTGAGGTTATTAAATTCCTTCTTCGTGAAATCAAGGTACGTATTATGAAGTCCGAGAAGGGACATTGTCGCGTTGTCGCACTCTCAAAAACAAGTAAAATGAGGCAAAATAAACTAACACGCGACATCGCGACAACGCGACATTTCGCCAATTTGTCGCATTGTCGCGTGTCGCCCTTTGGAGGAATAGAAAATTATTATTCAAAAAAGCGACATGCGACAAATGGGCGAAATGTCGCGTGTCACATTTTGGTTAATTTTGCCTCATTTTGCTTGTATTTGAGAGGGCGACAACGCGACAATGTCCCTTCCAGGATTCCATAACGTATAATCTTTGAGTTCCAAGGACTTTGATCATTATCAGGGACTTGCTGTAGGATGTTGTCAAGACTCTCTGTTTCTATAGTGAGTGAGTGAGCGAGTAAGTAACTTTGGTTTAACGCCGCTTTTAGCAATATTCCAGCAACATCACAGCCGGGAACACATTGTACCAATGTGGGGAATCGAACCCGGGTCTTCGGCGTGACGAGCAAACGCTTTAACCACTGGGCTACCCCACCACCCCTGTTTATATAGACAATATATGGTGTTGCAAGAACTCTCAAGCGAATGTTGTTTTCGAGTGATGTTCAATATCAAGATTCGCTTCTTTTATTTAAACATTTGGTCTTGAAAATAGGATAGATGTCCTTGAAATAAGTATGAATAAATCTTGAAAGAGTTTAGTTTTACGCAGCTTTTAACAATATTCCAGCAATATCACGGCTGGGGACACCAGAAATGGGCTTCACACATTGTATTCATATGGGGAATCGAACCCGGGTCTTCGGCATGACGGGCGAACGCTTTAAAGATTAGACTACCTCACCGCCCGGGTGAAATCTTGAATTTCGAAAAGGTTGTTTTAGAGTATCAGGGAATCTCTGTCATATCTTGGGTCCGGGGGACCTATGATAGTTTCTAGCCCTGTCAACACCGTACATCGTACAGTTACCTTCATTAAACTCGCAAATCAATGAAACCCATTAATATGTTGCAGTGACGTTTTACCTGCAAGGTGTTGTGGCATGCGCACTAAGGTATAGCGTATGTTAAACGTTACAAACAGTCAATAAATCTTTCTGTTGACACATATGATAGTGTGAGACAGTATTTATTTAGTATAGACACCCTACGTCTTTATATGGGGGTAAGGATATGATTACAACCGTCCTGGTATTATATCTGGTATTTATGTATGAACTAACTAACATCCGCCAGCTATGGTCATCAGATATATATATATATGAGAGAGAGAGAGAGAGAGTAGAGACATATATAGTGAGAGAGATATATATAGAAAGATATAGAGTAGATCTATATATATATAGATATAGATATATATATATATAGAGAGAGAGATATAGAGTAGATATATATATATATAGAGAGAGAGAGAGTAGTAGATATATATGTATAGAGAGACATAGAAAGAGAGATATATATATATAGAGAGAGATAGGGAGATATATATAGAGGTAGATATATATATATAGAGATAGAGATATATATAGAGAGAGAGAGAGATATATATATAAAGAGATAGATATATATATAGATATATATATATATATATATATATATATATATATATATATATATATATAGAGAGAGAAGTATATATATATATATATAGATAGGGAGATATATATAGATAGAGATAGGGAGGTAGAGATATATATAGGGAGATATATATATAGTGAGATAGGGAGATATATAGAGAGGTAGATATATAGAGAGACGTAGAGATATACAGAGAGGTAGAGAGATATATAGAGAGATATATATAGAGACGGCAAAGAGTGGGATGTACAGGACAGACAGACACGGGGAGGGATAGAGAGAGAGGGTGAGAGAGGAGGGGGAGAAAGACAGAGAGAGGGGAGAAAGACGGGAGAGTCGACGGGATATTCTTTCTGGTTGACATTCATTATTCTTTCTGAGGGTCGGCTGGAGACTACTTATATCTTTGTGACATACACTTTGTATTTTCGCTCAATATTATGTAGCATGTAATTACAATTTTAATTTTACAAACGATAAAACACGACTGTACTTTCTTTGCCCCCATCTCTCAGTTAATGACACCTTAGTCCAAAAATGTTACGCAAATATTCACCGATGATATATGTTTTCCTCCTGAATCGATATACCGATGACAATATCCATTAGTGTTAATGATACCTGAGTGGAACGCACAGGTAAGTGCAGGTGGAACGACAGTAGTGTGGCGTGTGTATTGATTAAACATGCTCTGGTTCCTCACCGGGACACCTGAGCTGCACACCTTTCCGAGACAGGTATTACCACAGGTAACACACTTATGATTTCACGTACCTCGACCTGATTTTTAGAGGTAAAGAGAAGCATGGCGGACGCTGTTACATATCACTGGAGATAGTAATTACTGCTTTAGGCCTGAAATGGGTTCTTACTGCCTATACGTATATGTGAGTTGTCGTTCAGCTTTACCGATGTACGTACAACATTGGCAGCTTGTGGTGGCATACATTTCATCATTTATGTCTTCTCTTTCAGACAGGATGTGTGTATGTCTTCGTCGACGTTGCTGCTTGATGGCGTCAACACAGACGACAGAGAACTGGATTAACCACAACACGTCTGCATCAGGAAGCAGTGTTGATGAAACAAGCTAGCGAGGGTCGTCACGAATAGGCCGGAGTGAGAGTGTTTCGTGCCAAGAAAAGTATATTCTCACAGTGACGTCTTTGACGTGTGTATTTAGAACAACGTTATGTACGCAACATCATCGTTAGCTCCAAACGTGGAAACAGAAAATAACGGCAAGTATTTTAGGATGACATATGATGAGGTCCGGGGTTGAAGTCCGATCTGAAAATTCGGTCAAGGTCGTGAACCAGGAAATGATACCTGTTTCATAGGTATCTGAATATGAACAACACTACCGGAGAGTGTGGAAACATTTCTAGTAGTTGCGAGGTGTGGGAACTTCCGTACGGCGTTACCGTGTTCGCGTTGCTCTGTCTTTCCGTCAACATCGTCGTCAGCCTTCTCATCAACGCTCTATTGATGCTGATACTGCAACACTCCCCCAGTCTGAAAACGCCCCCCAACAGTCACCTCCTCAATATCTGCATCAACAACATCTTGCTCTGTATCAGCATGCTCCTCTCCATGGTCGGCGTCAACGTCAACAGCGTCAGCGACGTCACCTACGAGATGAGTCAGGCTCTCTCTGGCACGCAGCTGTTTATTGTGTATAATTCCCTCCTTCAGTACTGGGGAACATTTGCATCCATTGGCTACTACCGCCAAAAAACGATCAAGGAGCCGTCTCTGACCTTGCGGACCCGGCGGCAGATTGTCTCAAGGTCAATCGTCGGGAACTGGATTATCTCCCTTTTATTGAGCATGACGTGCAGCTTGACCTACGCTGGAACAAGCAACATCATGGAGACAACCCTAGACCCATTTCGTAAGGACTATTACCTTTCAAATACGTCAACTTTTGCCGTCGAACAAATGGCAATCATTTTATTCATCCTCGGGGTGTTCCTAGTCGGCCTTGTGACTATATTTTCTTCCTATTACAGTATTTTCAAGACATTAAATGTCACTGGTACATTTGCCAAAAATCGCGTGACTCCATGGCAACGCGCCCCTAGTCTTGCCTCGGACGTTGCGGATCTGACAGTGCCTTGTGGGCGATCTTACCATCCTGCAGATGCAGCAGCTGGTAGACCGTTTACCGTCTCCCAAAAATCAAATGATACACTTGTGCATTACCAGAAGTGTGACAATACCCTTGCCTTTGAAGACATCCTTGCCTTAGAAAACCCGATCCGCGCCGTCAACCTGCAGAAACAGGACAATCAGAAGCGGCAACTGCAGATGACCTTGAGCAGTGGCAGTACATCTTCTACAAGGTCACGTTGCCCGGATTTCACGGACATATCACTAGGTGCGGATCTCGAGCGTTTTCAGATGTTAAAGAACAGCTCAGCCTTGAGAAACCAGTTTCTAAGACGGGACCGAGTCAGTTTAAGCAGCGCTATCAGAAACAGTCTTGTTATGTTCTGTGCCTATCTCGTCTGCTCGCTTCCGCTTATCTTCTGCAGTTTCCCGCGCGCTCTTGCCGCAGTCTCGCCTTCCAGCCGAGTCATCGCCCTGCTTTGTTGTCGTCTGCTCTTCTACATCAACGCACCAGTGTATCCCACCTGGTATCTGCTGTTCAGCAAACGGGTGCGTAAGTGTCTGCGGCGAATGTTGGACTCAATGCTTCTGCGACTGAACGTAAGGAGGTGATGCGCATCACTGAGATGCTTCACCAGACAGATGTGATTTTGCCGATGCCAAAGAATTACTGTGATGCAATGCTGGGACAGAAATATGTCATATGTTTGTAGATGTGTTACGGGGCTACTATTCATTTTGTATGATATCTAGTGACTGGTGTTAAAAATATGTTGTTATATTACCTTGAAAACTGTGACTTGTGTGAGATTATAAGATACTTCATCTTCTGCTGCAAGGGACCGTTCATAATTAATGGCTGGGGTGTGATGATGAATTTGGGGGGTGGGGGGCAATCAATTTTGTACACACGTTCTAGCGGGTGAGATATTTTGTACATGGTGATATATCTTAAATTATGCTTAAAAATTATGGCAGGGAGGGGGGGGTCATTGATACATTTGTACATGACATGCAGGGAGGGGGGCACGGTTTGGACTAATCCCTGTGACAAAGCAACGCTAGCGCTACGACTATATGTAAACTATAAGTAAAACTATGTTGAAGTATTGAAGTTATTCCCACCTTAACACTGTGACACGTCCGATAAACGACCTTTAAGATGATCGTAACTCCCATACTTTAACAGGCTGAAGACAACCGTAGTGCTAGTGGTATTTTGTGAAACAGGGGCTCAGATTATTTCCGAATATTGCTGGCCAATGCTATTGTCCCTGTGCTACTACCACCGTTGTGTGGTGGTCACAGTGATGGTGGACTTTCTAGAAGGTGTCTGTGTTCCTGTTAAGGTAGTTAACCACCGGTTACATCCAAGATATTATTAGCATTTCAAATGTTTGCGATTGACTATCATAATTTCTAATTGTTTGATCGACATTCTGGAAGTTGGTCAGTAAAAGATGAAACATACAACTTCATGGATGACGATGAACAATAAGTTGCATCCATAAAGTTGTATGTTTCATTCCTAATTTCTAGGTTATTTCACCATGTGAGATTGCAATGAATCCAAGGAACACCGTGCCAAAGGTTCCTGCTGTTCCTAATGACAGATTTATTGGTCAACTTAGGAACCTATAGTCCGTTTGGCTCCAAAGCGGACCGACGAATTGCAATCTAACTCGAAAACTAATAAACATAAATTACTCAGTGAAACGCTGATCATAATCAAAACATCATACCCACTCTGTGAGTTTTTTGCAGAATTTTTGTCCCAAAAATAAAAAAGTTGTTTAACAAACTATCATTAAAATATTGACACAGTTCACTGTTTGTTACGAGGGAGGAGTGCAGAGAAGGGGACAGCCAGGTGTTCGAGAAGCACGTTCACAGACAAAGTTATTTATTCATTAACCTGTGCTGTGCCGTCTCCATCCGTTCTCGAAAACCTGGCTGTCCCTTTCTCTGCACTCCTCCCTCGTAACATTTTTTTTATAATGACTCCTATGAAGCAAGAGTCATCAAAGTCTTTGCTTTACATTTAAGTATATCGTCGAATATCCTTGATTTGAGAGAGAGAGTGTGTGTAGCTTTTGCAGCATGGAAAACTGGAAGTATGTGACAATATTTGTGACAATATTTGTGACTGTGCAGACTAATCCTGCCTTAATATTGCCTTATATGCCTAACCATCCTCGAATATCCAGTGTGTATATCAACATAGAAGGGGTAAAAACAACACTGGATAACTGAGGGTGTCCGTACTACAGATTTGTTGTAATATAATGATTTATCTATATGTTTGTTATATGAGATATATTACTACATGTTCCAATGATGTTTGTGTTTCTTGATATTATATACATTCAAATCTGTCAAATAGGATTCTGATTAATCCGGATTTCTGTTAATACCGGACAACGTTTTCGGCCCCAAAACTACTGTGATAAATAATATTTCATTCAGCCTTTCATCTGTTTGTCTAGTACTGTATTTTCTGCCATAACCTCATAAATCCGGACTTCTGTTTAAACCGGACTAAACAGACCCATGTGATAATCCAGATTATACTTCGTTCGTTCCAGACTCAATTATTTACAGACCATTATGTCGCTGAGTGCGGTTTTAAACAACAATGAGTGAGTGAGTATATCACGGCGGAGATTTTGGGTCGCTTTTAGCAAGATTACAGCAATATCACGGCTGAGAACACCAGAAATGGGCTTCACATATTGTCGAATCGAACCTGGGTCTTCAGTGTGACGAGCGGACGCTTTAACCATTAGGCTACCCTACCGTCCCTTTAAACAACAAACGTTAAGGACACCTAACGCGATCGCTTGGTCAGACTCGATGACTTGGTTGACGCATGTCATCGAACCCCAGTTGCGTGGACTTATGCTCACGGCAATCACCTGCTCGTCTGGTCCAGACTATTTACAGACCGCCGTCATATAGCTGGAATATTGCTAAGTGCAGCGTTAAACAACAAATAAACAAAGGTGTTTAGTACACTCCCAGTGACTGAGTGAATGTTGTTTCATGCCACAGTCAACGTACTCAAGCCTTAAAACGACAATAAACGGAACGAGCCTCGGCGTCTTCAGACAGACAGCATAAACTACATCATTAACGGAGGTAAGTGGTGGTGAGCAGCACAAACCACGTCATCAAGGAAGGTAGCTGGAGGTTAATAACACAAACAACCTTGTCAAGGGAGGTAACTGGTGGCTAGCATCACAAACCACGTCATCAAGGAAGGTAGCTGGAGGTTAATAACACAAACAACCTTGTCAAGGGAGGTAACTGGTGGTTAGCAGCACAAACCACGTCATCAAGGAAGGTAGCTGGAGGTTAATAACACAAACAACCTTGTCAAGGGAGGTAACTGGTGGTTAACAGCACAAACCACGTCATCAAGGAAGGTAGCTGGAGGTTAATAACACAAACAACCTTGTCAAGGGAGGTAACTGGTGGTTAGCAGCACAAACCACGTCATCAAGGAAGGTAGCTGGATGTTAATAACACAAACAACTTGTCAAGGGAGGTAACTGGTAGTTAGCAACACAAACCACGTTGGCAAGCGAGATAAGCAGAGACTGATAGTATGAACAGTGATGTCAAGGGATGTGATTGAATCTAAGCCTCGTTTTCAAGTAATAATCGGTGCCTGACAACACAGACCCTGATAAACTGGTCCCACTCGACGCAGGGTTAGCGCTTTCATGAAGACAGTAGCCAAGTCTAGAACAACAAAAGCCGTCGGCAGGGGGAGGTAACCGGTGGTTAAAAAAACTTCCAGCTTGAAGGTTGGTGTACGGAACAGTACGAACCGCGTTGACACTATAGGAATTCATGTTAGTGAGTGAGTGAGTGAGTGAGAGAATTTGTCGTCTTGGAAACAGCATTGCATGTATATCGCAACACGTCTTCTTGGTAGGGGGTGGAAGCTAGAACTGATGCAAGTTTAAACGTTTACCAGTTTGGTGAAACCCACGCCCACGGCTGACAAATCTAGAAACATAACCAAGGCGAACGGAGATTCGAACCCATAATCATGGGTTTCCAGCGTGCTCAAGGGACGCAACTCTGCACAGCAAATCGCTGCATCTAAATCGACAAGGACAGTCGTATAATGTGTTAATCACATCTTGTTACATCTAACCAGTACCGGGGCGGTGGGGCGGTGGGGTAGCCTAGTGGTTAAAGTGTTGGCTCGTCACGCCGAAGACCCGGGTTCGAATCCCCACATGGGTACAATGTGTGAAGCCCATTTCTGGTGTCCCCCGCCGTGATGTTGCTGGAATATTGCTAAAAGCGGCGTAAAACCAAACTCAGTCAGTCAGTCCAACCAGTACCGAAACACAATCTGGGGCACAAGCGTTAGGGATACAATGAATATTTTTGTGGAGAATCTTTACAACTTTATGCTGAGCCCAGGACGTAACGCTGCAGAAGGAACATGACGTTACACATAAGGTCAAGGCCGAGCCATCCACATATAGCCCTAGGCTAAATGCCAGGAAAGTCCCTATCGTTTAGGATCTCTCTGCAGCAGTTGAAGTCTTATCCAGTATTTAGTATGACACCTCCCACCCTCCAAATATTCTTGTTAATATGAAACTAGCCACATAATGTATCATGTCATTTAAAAACAAAACAAAGTTGACCCTCCTGTTGAAACAGTGTCCACGTGTTCATAGACCAACTGCATGGGTATTAACCACATGGTCTAATGGACGGTGACAAGCACTGTTGTTCATCATGGCCGAGATATGCAGTAGGGGTGATAAGACCGAGTGGATCATATTACCTGATTTTGATTTCTCTACATTTGGCCTTGGAGTATATACCAAGCAGAGTTTGAGGTATACGTATGTTTTCTAGCTGTTGCACACATATACCAAGGAGCGAGACGTTGATGTTGTCTACAGCACCAGTTGTGTACTCCGCCATACAGTAGCCGACATTAATACCACTCAGCATGTTAGAGAACACCTACTAACCATCAGTGCTTGTTATTAGTACCAAACCGGCGACGACCGCCTCCGTAGTGGAGTGGTTAGAGCGTCCGCCCGGAGAGTGGAAGGTCGCGGGTTCGTTCCCCGACCGCGTCATACCAAAAGACGTTAAAATATGGTACTTGTTGGTCCCTGCCTGGCGCTCGGCATTAATGGGTACAACAAGGACTGGTCGGCTCGGAGTCAGTATCGTGTGTCTGAGTGGGGTATTCATGCTTCACTGCGGCATGGTATCTCAGTGGGCTAGCACTATAAAACCAGCTTCAGTCTGGGTTAGTACAAGCAGCCGCACCTACACATACACACACATGCACGTCGTCATATGAGCGAAATATTCTCAAGCACGACGTTAAAGCCAATTTCACCTCACCTCACCAATACGGCGACAATAGTGGATAACGTCTGTTACACACCAGGCAGCCGTATAGGTCCGCATGAAGCCGAGTAGATAGCTTAGCAACCGGTATACAGTATCTCTGGGATTACGATCATATTTCCATATACGTTTTCATTTTCGTTAACGCACAAAGAGAGACCATGGGAAGATTTACATAAAATAGTATCTCGCAGTGGATGAGAGAGCCAGACAGACAATGGTGTTTTGAAGTGACATATGCCGTAAAATAACAGATTTAGTCAATTTAGCTCCGTATAATCTCTTGTAACCATCTCCAAAGACGACCCAGTACGTTTAAACCCAAAATAATGTCTAATGTTTTCACCTTGTATTGGGCGACATTGTATTGTCGTGGAGGCAGCTTGCGAGTCAAGGTTGCAGACTGCCGTATGTTCTGGAGAACATGTGCACACGAACGCAGCAATAAAAACATTCGCGCAAACGTCATCAC